TAATTATCAGAAGGAAAAGAAAAAATGCGCCATTCTAGAATTGGAGAGTCGGGTAGGTGAAATTCATCTAGTCATGAGGAACACAGAAATTAGGTTATCACAAACAGGTCAAGGGTCTGTTCAGGAAAATCAGTTAGGCAGGGAATTGTATTCAGGTAACATGGGTGTCAGGTTAGGGAAAGCTGGTTCATCCAGAGCTGTGCTTTCCAATGCAGTAGCCACTAACCACATATGGCTAGTCAATTTAAATTTAAATTTAATCAAATTAAATTTAAAAGTTAGTTCCTCAGGAGTACTAGCTACATTTCAAGTGCTCGATAGCCATATGTAGCTAGTCATATGTGGACAGTACAGATATAGAACATTTCCATCATGATAGAAAATACTGCATCACAGAAAATCCAAGATCTAGGATCCTACAGAGTAGATATCAAGAAACAGCAACCCATGAGAGGGAATAAAAGAACTAAGGCTTAGGTAACAAGTCTGAGCAACATGAATCTAGCCCAGGAGTTTAGGTATTGAGCAAAGTGACACAGCTGGAAGAATTTACTCTTTTGTCACAGGCCTCCTGAAGTCATACGTGCAAGAAATTGTGTATGAGTGGTAACACAGCCCAAACTGGTATCTGTTAAATTGTATACCCTATCGCATTATATCACAAATGGCTTCAGGAGAGGAGGGGGCCTATTGAAAAGATTACATGAGGCAAGAGTGAATAACCTCGCCCATGAAGAATCATTACTAGAATGTTTGGGCAGTGGCTGGCATATTGAATGCCTGCCTTCTGTTTCTCATTTCACTTCCCTTCTGTATCATTTAAGATATAAAAGTGTGCATTTTGATGATAATAGTCACACTACAACTATCCTTAGATATATTTCAGTTTTTCTTTTTGCATATTAAGTGAATAGGGTAAAAGACAAACAACTGACTTACTCAAACTGAGCAGAAAAGAATAAAATCTTTAATCTTGAATTTCATTGTGTTTAACTGTTTTGGATTCTTTAAACATACATGACTCGAAATGTACATGCAATGTGTATTGGAAACAATCGAAACGTGTACAAGTACTATTCCCAAATACATGGAATGGTGTTAATGTGCTTGCAGCATTGAGCCATTTTGGTTAGACAATTATAGTAGCAGCTTACTTGTACTTTTGGTGAAATGGTAAGCTAATGATGTAGCCGTTCATTTGAATTTAGCAGACATTTTAAATATAGGTTTCTTTTACAGAGACAAAAGTTGCAATTTAAAGCTCTTTGGTGGTCTAAAAACAGCTTAATTCTGTAGTAGCATAGTAATAAGTACTAATCCAGCTTATACAGTGATTGTAGTATGTCATGTTTGTGAAAGATTGCTTAACTGCTTTCTCTGGGTTTTATGTTAATTTAAAAATATTAAACATAAAAACCTTATAACATCTTCATGCTGAGATAAACTGTTCAATTTAACTTGTGCTCAAGCAGCAGCTGTCAGGAATTATCTTGTTCCTAGTGGTTTTTGCTATCACCTTGTTCCTTTCCTGCCAGAGACACACTGTGGGATGATAAAGTGCACCTTGTTAGGATTTATTGCTTAAATAATACCTGAGGCAAGATGAACATTGGTAGCCCAGGGATTAGCTGCTGATCAAGTGATGTCATTCATTGTATTATTATCAGCTTTTAAAAATTGTTAGTAGGGTACAGAGTAAAAATTACCTGTGGATCACCTGCGTTCCTTTTGTGGGCATATTCATTATTTCTTTTTGGGTGTTGTTGAGCTAAATATTTGAGAAATTGCTTATTGACCAATTTAACTACTATTATATAAGCAAAAAAAGAGAAATGATGGAGATAACTTCCACTATTTAAAAGTAGTGAGGACGATTTCAAGGTTAGTTGTAAAAAATACAATGAATTTTCTTTTAGTGATTAAACAAACTGAAAGCAGTATTGGTGTGGACAGTCTCAAATGGTGAATATTATGAAAATTATTGTCATTTTCATGTGAGTACATTGACCTCTTTTATTTGGAGGTTTTCATTGGAAGGCTCAACTTTCACTGGAAGGTGCAACTTTTGGTTGTGCATAGGCTGGTGGGCAGGGGGACCCATGGTAGAAATAAAGGACTCCTCTCGATTAAACATCTGCTATAGATGGTACACCCTGAGGATAATCTTCATGTAGAAATTAACAGTTGAATTATGGCTAGAAATGCAGATATGATGGGTTTATTGTTTATGGATTGTAGAATTTTTTTCTTCTACTTACTGCCATTTAATGCCTACTACTTCAAATTTATAGATTTATAAATGTATAACTTACCCCAAATTTGCAGGACAATGCCTTGCTCCATGAAATCTTTTAATAGACTCTCCGCAATCCCCTGAAGCTGTGAATTACTACACACCTGTTCACGTAGATTAATCAGTTGTTAATGTTTTTGTACATTTTTTATTTTTCTTTCTCTGTAAATATATACATATTCATATTATTAGTAGTAGCATTTTGGCTGAACTAAGAGTTTATTGCAAACATCATGCCATTTCACATGTAAATAATTTGACATGAATCTCCTAAGAATAAGGATATTCCCCTACACAACTGCAATAAAATTGTTGTATTTAAGAAATTAAAGATTGGTAGAAATTTGCGTCTTATATTCAGCCCATATTCAAATTTTTCCTATTGTCCTAATAATGTCCTTAATAGGTATTCTTTCCCATTCCATTATCCAGTGAAGGATCACATACTTCCATACTGGATTTTGTTTTGGGTATCTTTATTTCCTTTAATCTAGATTTTCTTTTTCTTTTATGACATGACGTTTTTGGAGATCCAGAGAATTATTTTACAGAATATTTGTCTGGTTATTCCTCGCTAAATTCAGATTAGGCATTTTTGACGGGAACACTACACTGATGATTTGTATCTTTCTCAATGTATCACATTTGCAAATACATGGTATCATTTTGTCCCATTATTGGTCATAGGAAGTTTGATCACTTGGTTAAATTGGCGTCTACCTGATTTTCCCATTAAAAAGATTTTTTTTTGTTATTAATAACTCATATGAAGGCTACTTTTAATGCATTTTTCTGCCTCGTGTGTGAAAAACATTGTGCTTGCTCAGGTGATAATGATTAGGAATGGGAATCTTTGCTTGCCGTAGTATGTATGTATGGTCAGGGATGGGGATGGTAAGACAGAATAGAAGGAGATGAGGAAGGATTGCTCAATAACTAGATCCACAATTTGCCATGTATTCCATTTTAAGGAAAATAATGTTTGAAATATTTTGTTGTTTCCTCTGCTAAAGGTAAGATTTCTAGGTAAGCAAATATCTTCATATTTCAGAATTTTCAGTATATTTTTTAGAGCAGATTATACGTGGTAGTAGTGGGGGGAATATGTTTGGACGATGCCCTTTTTTTAAAAAAAAAATTTGGGTATAGACAAACAATTAAAAAAAAATGCATCTCCTTGGTAAGGTTTTTTGTTTGTTTTACCTTAAGGAGATAAATTCTAACATTAATATGGCTATGCAGGTTTAAAGAGGGATTGCTGGCTTTTGGTCTTATGTGCCTTTTTTAGCCCATGAAGAAGACACTTGAATTCCTACTTATGATATATGCACTTATTATATAATCATTCTTCTTATGTGAAAGGCCAGTGCAGCAGATCATATAAACACCTGAAGTTAGCCATTTGGCTTGTCAGCAAGGGAGGATTTATAGTAGTTATAATCATGGTAATAACAAGGATGATATTTTGTATTTATTAAGTACAGAAAAAAGCACTTGCAATGTAAGTGGTCCGCAACCAATTCATATCTGTGGTGTAATGAAAAGCAGTTTGAGCCTAGAAGACCAGCAGTCTCTGCTTTACCACTTTCTACCTAGAAAAAACTCTTAACCTTCTTGAACCTGATTGTTTAGAATGGGAATTAAAGCCATAAAGGTCAAATGATGTCACATTATGTTATAAAGGTGGCATTCTATCAAATTTGTGCCATAAATGTCCTCAGCTGCTCAAGACCTGTACTTTGTCCCTCTTTTTTGTGTGTCCATATGTAGTAGGCACCTCATTAGGGAAACATTTCCAGGTTGTCCCAGACAATTAGTATTGCTTTCTGTTTGTTTCTCTAATGCTTTGTGTATGTCTCTATTACAGGCAGCATTTATCCTGCTGAGTTGTCTTGTTCATCTTTTCTGTTCTTCCTGGTTAGACCCTGGCACATAGTAGGCATTTAGTAAATGTATGTGGAATGAGAAAGTAAATTGACACTTTTTTCATTTATAAACATGGATGGGCAAGATTTGTTTCCCTTTTCCCCCTAAAAGCAAGGAATCAGTCTTTCATCAAATTTTTATATTTATGCTTTATTAAGGGATTTTACAAATCATGCCTTTGGTACCATTAGCAGTCCAGTAATGGAGAACAAAAGATGTTTTAAAAAATACAAGTATTGTAAGATACTTTACAAGTGGGGGGGGGGGTAAGAAAACATGCCAAGAGAAAAAGACCATACTAGATAAATCTATTGCATAAATCAAAAGGGTTTATGTCATAACATGAACATGTGCCATTCCTGCTCATACACTGAATTTCAGTAGTTGGTTGCATAAAGAAGGAAAGTGTAATGAAACTGGCAAGCAAAGTATTCCCCAGTCAGCATTATCTTTGTTCCATTTGTCCTTCAGATAGAGCTTTTTTTTGCCTTTTTCAATAAAATCCATCCGGCGTGGTTTTTTTTTTTTTTTTTTTTTTCACATTTCTCAGTAACTGCACTGAGAAGACCAGTGAGATTTGGGACCTTTATAGTTCTAAGCAGCTGCTTTTTAAGAGATCAAAACTTAGAATGCTGCTACATGGTATTAAGGCTCAACTATTGATGTGTCCCTATAGGGGATATGTTTTTTCTTGCTGTGGGAAGAGAAAAGAGGAAAGAAGAGCAAAGGGTGACCCCTTCAAGCACTTGGGACAGTAAACCCCAATTTCCTTGTTTCCTAGGATCCTCTTTGCAAGCTCAGTGCTTAACCTGACTGAACTGGCTGCCCTTCGGCCTGACCTTGGGAAACTGAAAAAGATTCTGTACTTTCACGAGAACCAGTTGGTATATCCTGTCAAGAAATGTCAGGAGAGGGATTTCCAATATGGATACAACCAAATTCTTTCATGGTAGGTATGGATTGTATCATTATATTTGGCCCTTTGCTACCTTTTTCTTTGTAGGAGATTACATTTTAAATCTGGAGACCTACTACTGTATACCTTTTTTAAAAGCACCACAAGGTAGGTGCAAATATTTAAACAATTTTTCCTTTTGCAGTATATGTAAGATCAGAGCTAATCATTTTATAAAAATACATATATGTAACCATCTGATTATATGTTGAGCTAATTATCTATTTTTCACAACATTCAAAATAGAATTAAAAGGTTGGCAGGGGACTTCACCCCTTGATTTCATGATCTATTGCTTAAGGCATTTAGAAAGGGCAGTTAGTCAACTCTTACTTACTAATCATGATCACTGTGTTGAGTAAAATCAAAATGAAGTTTTGAAGAGAAATAAAAATTAAAACATGCTGGAGCAACTTGGGGTTTTGTCTCCCCTCCCCCGCCTTTTTTTAATTGTAAGACAGAGAAGACTATCGAAAATGAATCTTTAGGTAGTGTTTTCCTTTTTACCTCATTGAGTCTTCTGAAATGGCACAGCCTTAAAATACCATGACATTTTGAAGGTGATGGTCCTTCTCTGTTGTTACTTTGGCAGAGTGTATCTCCTGAAGCTTAGTTAACGAAAAAGTTAATAACAACTCTGAAATGGCTTTGCTATTGGATCCTATTCGTGTAAGTGCAGCAGTCAAACAGAATCTATTTGTCAGTGATTTTGTACATTTTATTCATCTTTATTAACAGTTATCAGCAGCTGGGATTGATGATGTGCTTAAACAGACCCCCAACTCCTGCAAGTATGCTTCACAGTTTAGTTGACATAGAAAAAAGGCTATATAGTAATAATTCTGTGTTGTGTGCATTTTGTGAATTATCTATTTTTTTTTTGTTTTCCTACAATCATTTTTACAAGCTGCTTCAACTGTGAAGTAGCAGTGCTATCAAAATAGAGTGGAACTGCTTCACGTCAAATGTCTCATAAAAAAGCAGCCGTTTTAAAATTTCGTAATAAAATTAAAATACTTTATATTGAAACAGAGAATGAAAATATGTTTTAAAAGTGAAAATAAAATCATTTTGTGCTTTATCAATATGGAAAACATTTGTAATATTCTTTTGATTTCTTGAATTAGCATCATTCTTTTCTTCAGATAGTATGTGTTTATTACCCCTGAGAAATCACTGGGAAAAAAACTAAGTCTATTTTTCCCTTTATGGGTGGCTTTAAAGTTAATGGAAGTTACATCCACTCATATCAGGGAGGAAATGTACCAAAAAGGATATTTCTGCAAACTATCTTGGATCTTTAATTTAGCACAGACTGGATTTTTAAGAATGTAAGTCATTGGGTCACATGCCCTTTGAGGGAAGCTATCTAAAAACAATTCAGCTCTCTATTCCTCCTCACTTTCATAAAACATTATTTTTGCTCATAGGAAATGAGACTATAAAAGTTTTGTACATGATTTTTTAGCATTGCTTTTTCTCAAGTGGGTAAACTTGCAGACAAGCTTGGAGAGAGAGAAGGGGACTTCATCATCAGTTGGCTTCTTAATGGGAAAAAAATGGTTCACAATTTTCCAGAGGAAAAATAAGAGTGTCAAAAGGCAGTCTGGTTCAGATTCTCGTTGAAAAGTATGACTCCCGCTTCCTCAAATGTTTCTTTAGTTTTCTTGCTGACTTCTGCTTTTTTGGCACTGTCAGATTTCTTTCTTGACTGTGTGGCAGTTAAGGACTTTAAAGATGACTGACATAAACACTCACCTTAAACAGAGGTTTCACTAACCCTCTGACTTATGAACACATGTTACAACTATATATTATGACCTGTAGGTCGCTATTACAATATATGACATATGGTGAAAACAGACTAGCTGTAAAACATCCTTCAACTTTTGGTATATTATTATATTGTCTTCCTTGTTGTGTCAGCACTTCTGTGACATTCCTTTGTATTATTCGTGTTGTAATCACCCGCACCCCCCAAATTTGCACTAGGTAGCAACTACTAAACAATACTTGTATGGAAAAGCAGTTTTTTCAGGGGAGGCATGGGAGTAGCAGACCATCACTCTTTCTGTTCATTTTTTACTCTGCTATATATTAACATTTTAATAATAAATTTGGCTGTCTCAGCAAATATGACTTACAGTAAACTTGGCTATGGCATTCCTGTTCTGTAAGCTGTATTTATTCTGTGGTGTTTTGCAGTCCTGTGGACATAACATGTCTTCTTTTCAGTATTATTGATCTATCATATTTAGTATGGAAGAAAACTAATTGCTTTGTCCCTTTAATCTTGTATACAGATGCTCCTCAACATACGATGGGATTACAGCCTGATAAGCCCATTATTATAAGTTAAGAATATTATAAGTTGAAATGCATTTAGTGCAGCTAACCTGCTGAACATCATAGCTTAGCCTAACCTACCTTCAACATGTTCAGAATACTTACATTAGCCTACAATTGGGCAAAATCATCAGGCAGCACAGTCCGCTGTGGAGTATGGTTGTTTACCCTTGTCATCATGTGGCTGACTGAGATTTGTGCTTCACTGCTGGTGCCCAGCATCGTGAGAGAGTATTGTGCACATACCATTAGACCAGGAAGATCAAAATTCAAAATTTGAAGTATGGTTTCAATTGAATGTGTATTACATTTTCACCATTGTAAAGTTAAACAGATCGTAAGTTTCAACCATTGTAGTTGCAGACTGGTATGTATTACATTTATTTTGTTTAATTTGAAGATCCATGGTGTTGCAGTGCTTTATAATTTATGTATACCTTTATATAATCAGGACCTAGAGATCTGGATTTCTGGACCCATTTCTACCAATTTCTTCTATTTCTTTGGTTAGTCCAATATAGTATATGATAGTGAAACAAGTTATTTTGGGATACCATAACTCTTCCTGTATAGTCCCAGAACTTTAAAAAACTTAACACAGTTTCTTGTAGTAAAGGCTAAAGGAAGAAGTAGATGTTAGCCAAATAGTGCTGAAGGTATCATGCCCTAGTATGAAAGTAGTTTGGGTCTGAATTAGTCTCCTTGAAGCTAGTGAGAAGTGTGACGGATGTTCTGTTCTCTGTAGTATGGTGTAAAATGATGTACATCACCGACATAGAAATTCAACATGGGTAGTTGGACCATGAAGAAAAAGGAATTGCTGTACGTAATGTTGTTGATAATATAGAAAGTTCCTGGCGTTGTGGAAAAATATGCTTTGATTTGGAGCCTCATGCAATCCCATTAAATCATTCCATTTCCCTGTTGCCTTGATATCTGATGCCACCAATCAACTCCCTGTGATACAACACTAATGAAACTAACTTAGCTATTAGAGACATTTTGATAGATACTGATGGGAAGTGAAGAGTTCTTTGCAAACCTAAGGTGTAGTATAAACTCTGATTAATATATAGACGTTTTAGGTTTATAAAAATTGCTTTGAGTGAGTCTGGGCTCATCATTTGCATTTGTCTTTTACCTTTACAGCCTGGTGGCTGATGTGGTTGTATTCAACTCAGTTTTTAATATGGAATCATTTCTCACTTCCATTGGAAGATTTATGAAGCTGATTCCTGATCATAGACCTAAGGATCTGGAAAGCATCATCAGACCCAAGTGCCAAGTTATTTATTTTCCCATCAGGTTTCCTGATGTGAGCAGGTCAGTATGTTTGACTCTGTTCTCAATATTGTGTCATAAATTATTCCTCAAATGTATAGAAATTGATGTTCTTCATGCCAGTTTTAAGTTTACAGCATAAGTATGGTTAATTAGAGAATTGAGTTCTGTCTCACCATGCTGTGATTTACAAAGATTTTAAATCATCATGTGTCTAACCCATCACCAAATAGTTCAGATATTGAGTTCTTCCTTTCTTTTCTTTTATTTATTTGTTTGCCAAAGTAGCTTGGTGTTTTGTTTCTTTATTTTTTTGTTACGGAAGTCATTGTCAAGCATGTTTCTCAACCTTTGTGTTCGGCTTATGCCCATTGATTTATACATATGATAATAACTATTCTAGGTAAATCAGTGTTAAATCTCACTGCTTGGATTAGTTCATTTCCCATGCTATTTTAAAATTTTTTCTTATTTTTAATTATTTATATTATCTTAATAAAGAGTTAAGTCTTCTATATTGGTTTACACATGTATCTAATTGCCATTTCTCTTTCTCAGTTACTAAGGATGTTTTTTTATTACCCTTGTTGCTGGGCCCACCTTGAATTAGCAATGGATGATGTGGCTCAAAGGGAACATTCTGGAATTCCTTTTCACTTTTGCTTAAACCTAGCAAAACTGTTTTTACTACTTCTAGAAATATTTCTCCCATGTGAACAGAAAGTTTACTTCAGTAGGACTCACAGTAGCTGGAGATGCCGCTGTTTTTTATTGAATGCTTTCTTAAAAGAGTTCAGGAACAGCTGTTTCTTCCTCATCCCTGCAATGAAGGCAGGAAATGATTTAATATCCATACATGCTATGCAGGAGGTCACCATTAATTTCTGTGTTCTACACTTACTGAGTTCACCCATATTTTGTGGTAGAAACTGTAGTCATTATTTGCACCCCTATTGCTGATTTATTTGAGTGTCTTATTTGTTAATATTTCATTGATGAAAAATCTGCCCCGTACAAAATCAGGTTAGGGAGTCATAAAATTTAAGTTAGACCATCTTGCCAAGTCTTTAGAGTACAGAAAACAGGGGCCCAGAGAAGTAGAGACTGGCTTGTATTCACCTTGTCATTGTCACAATCTGGATTAACATTTAGGCCTTATGACTTCTGATTCCAATTTCTACTTACTGTTCAAGCTTCCTGTCATTACAGGTCATTTGTCTAAAACAGTTAATGATTTATTTGCTGTTTTGAAAACTAGAAAGCTAAGTGGAGCCACGATCACAAGCAATTTGAAGAATACATATGTAATTATGTATATTATCTGTGTATTTATAGACATACGGTTTTCTTATGTGTGATGAGAGAACTTCAGCTTTTGAAAAAATATAATAGTTATGCTTTGCCTATGATTAACTAGAACAGATATATATCTACATTAAAAAAAATGAGCCTTATATTTTGACATAAGTTTTAAGTTTTTTTTTAATATCATGAATAGGCAAAATGCATATCTATAAGTGAATAGGTGGCTATAGCTCATCTTAATTATTACTGCTAGAGAATTCTAAATAAATGTTTTAAAATTCATTTACATCCAATATGTTTCCACGTCATATGTTTAATATACCTGTGGCAGTTGAATAGTTTATTCATTTGGGCAATATTACCATAAAGGAATCTAGCTAAATAGAAAAAGGTTAAGAAATATTGTGGCCAAATAACATTCATAAGCAAGGTCTTAGCCTAGAGTGTTATTTGAATTATTTTCAAATGGTAATTTGCTTTATGCAACCCAAACTCATATAGTGTAAGTAAGTGATTATTTGCATGAATGACAATCATTCTAATGCCTGCAGTTTCAAAACCATATTATTTTGTTGAGATGTTGAAAAGTATTTAGTAATTCCGAAGGCAAAATAACCAAGGTGATTAAAAAGTATTTTTGAATGCTTATATCTTTCTCCCTATCCATATATCATTTGGTCATAGGAAAAATGAATTTAACTAAAAACAAAGCAAAAGATACAGTTAAATTATTAATCATTGTGCTATATAATATAATGGATATTAATTAGAAAGGGGAGAAAAGCCATACTTCCAACAAAATAGGTGAGGATTTATAGAGTTTCTGTCTGTTAAAACTCAGAGCATGTCTGTCACCTGGCATTTTTGGTAATACTGGACTTATGGGACCTACTGCTAACCCTTGCCTTCCTCACTCTTCCCCTGCCTCACTCCCAAAGACCAGATAAATAGTAGCAAGAGAGTGTATTCCTTGAAAACATTTCATTATATGTTATATGTATTGAATATTTTGGAAAGTGAAAGCTCTTAGATGCCATAGTTACATATACATGTATTTGAGTTTTGATTACCACTTTCTAGCTCTGTGATCTGTACCTGTAGAATGACCTTGCACTTAAGTTCATTAATCGTTGTGATTAAACCATCTCATAGGAATGATTTAGTGATTAAATGAAATAATGCATACCGTGTATCTAGGATAGTGCTTAGCATACAATAGACCCCCCAACAAAGTTTATTTTATCTTATTACTCCCCCCCAACTTCCATTAATTTATGACTTAGCATATTTATTGGCATCTGAATATAGAGGACTGTCTTCCCTCCACCTCCCACTGCCCTATAATTGACACATGAAAATAGAGAACTATTAATAGAGGAATCTAATATAAATAAGGAGATTGGTTTATTTATTTATTTTCTTTATCACCTTGAGTCAAACAATCCTTTGGCCTTACCAGACCCCACCATCCATTGATTGAGCCAACTTAATTTCATGCTTGTCCTATTTTCTCTTTCTTTGTCGCCTAACTTTCTTATCCCATCATTATGTTTACACTCTTGCATATCCTCTCAAATCTTTGACGCCTTTTGTTTCATATTTGATTGGCAAAAGTCCTCGTCTGTTTAAATCTATTTGTTCATATACTTTCCCCCTATAATCATGGATTAAACATGACTGGAGAAAAGCATGTCATACTTATTAGCATGTTCTAAATGTGTGACTCCTAAATTCAGATGAGCCCTTTGAGCTCTTTTTTTTTTTTTTGAGATGAAGTGTCTCCCTGTCACCAGGTGCCAGGCTGGGGTGCAGTGGCGTGATCTCAGCTCACTGCAACCTCCGCCTCCCAGGTTCAAGCAATTCTCCTGCCTCAGCCTCCCGAGTAGCTGGGACTACAGACATGCACCACCATGCCCAGCTAATTTTTGTATTTTTCGGTAGAGATGGGGTTTCACCATGTTGGCCAGGATAGTCTCAATCTCTTGACCTCTTGATCTGCCCGCCTCGGCCTCCCAAAGTGCTGGGATTACAGGAGTGAGCCAACCAGCCCGGCTGGGGAGAGAGTTCTAAGGAGATAATCAGTAGTGAATTCATAGTGGTGAGGTTAAGTAAAGTGATGACTTAAAAGTATCCTTGAATTTGATCATTAAAAGGTCAGTGGCATCCACCCTGCATTCTGTTGAGTCACAAAAATGTTTCATGTGTGTTCTCATGGCTAAAGAAACATCGGATTTAGGTCTGGATGAAACCTCTGTCTGTCATACACACACACACACACACACACACACACACACACACACACACACACA